TTATATTTTAACTTCTTTACTTCGTTTTGTCCACTGATTATTTCGTAACAAATCAAACATTTTTTTTGTTTTTAACGAATCCTGAACTATCTAGCCGGTTTCTTTATCTCCGGTTTCAAAGTCTTTTCCCAGCATCATCTTAGCAGCGAGTGCAAATGATAAAACAAATGCGAAATTCGCAGATAATACATTCACCAGAACCTGTTAAATACATATAATTTTAACTTCATTTACTAACCCAAATTTTATACAAAGTTCAAGAGAAAAGAACCAACCTTTAGAGATTCAAGAACAAAGCTCATTGACACATTTGATTCGTCATCGGTTCTTCGCAGTAGCAAGCTTCTATCTTTTGAAATCGTTAAAGCCCCTCCAAAATGAGAGTTTTACAGAGTATCTATACTAGTATTTTTGCAGTCATTTTGGTGACGAGTGGGTAAAAATGCTCCCAGATTATTTGGATACCCGACCCGTTTCCAAATTTTGGTCATAAAAAGTTTGTTGGGTCGGGTTATATTTAACCCAACTCATACACTGGATATTCCATATTTAATAATTTAGATATTTAGAAGATTTGATTAAGATTTAGAATTATGATTCTCCTATTATCTTTGTTTGATTTGTTTTTAACTATTTTGAATAATCATATAATACATAAAGTAAAAAAAAATCAATTTTTTTTTTCAGCATATACTGTGATTCGAAATTTTAAAAACGGACATATATTATCCAATTGACGAAAATGTGTGTTCAACGTTCTACATCGATTAAAATATTTAGACAATGATTCAGAATCATATCATAAATAAGATCAACATTAATAAAATGAATGAGTTTTTTTTGCCGGACGGGTTTGGCGGGACGGGTTTTTGAATCAACGATAATAAAAAAATTAAAATATCATTAATCCGCCGCTTCAATACAGATTAAATCCTTAATTTTTTTTTAATACCACCAATATTAGACATATCAAATCAGTCTCATTTCGAAAAGATTGTATAAAATCAAAAATTGTCCCATGGTATAATGTTAATTAATAACAATTGTAAACTATAAAATATAAATGTCTTTGAAAATGATACAATTTACAAACTTTTATCTATAATAAATAATTATTAAATTTTTTAAAATTACTACTTTTAGAAAACAAATTACGGGACGGGTTAAGAAATTACAGGACGGGTTATATGGTGGACGAGTTTGAATCAACATTTATAAAATTTTAAAATATCATTAACATGTCGCTTTAATACAGATTCAATCCTTAGTTTATTAAAATATAAATGTCTTAGAGAATGATACAATTTATAAACTTTATATATAATAAAAATCATTGAATTTTAAAATCATTACTTTTAGAAAACAAATCACGGGACGGGTTTAGAAATTATGAGACGGGTTATATTTCGGAACGGATTTATATGGCGAACGGGTTTGAATCAATATTTATAAAATTTTAAAATATCATTAACATGCCGCTTTAATACGAGTTAAATCCAAAGTTTATTATTGTTCCGTGAACTCGTGATATACCGTTACTTGGCTGGAGCGTAATTCAAGGATTTTCAGCTCAATTATCTCTTCTAGCTTAGTGTTTCAAGCTGCTTTGGATCGCTCCATCCGAGACCGTTACCTTTCTTTCCTAGGATTTTCTTCTACCTCGGTTTTTTTACTTGCTTTCTATTTTAGTTGTATCTCTTTTTCCTTCTAGCTTCTCTTTTGTTTGAATAAGTTGTATCACCAATGTACAGTAAAAAATTTGAAAATGATATAAAATTTAATCTTGTACAAAAAAAAAAATGGTCAGCAAGTTTCAGAGATCAAGCTCCATACCACACACATGTACTAAGTTAGATTTTAATGTATAAAATATTAGTAGATATTTTGTGTTTTACTTTTAATATGTTAAAGTTCAGCTTGATGGGTTCAATCTCAAAATCCACTTGTATTAATCTTTATTGTTTTCCATATCAATTTGGACGTTAAAGAAAAACTTTCTTTCTCTTAACACTCTCTTATCTCTGATAAAGAGCTTTTCTTCCGATTATGATAAGATTTTATTAGAGTCAATTAGGTGCATTGACATATTTTGGAAAAGAATCAAGAAATAAACAACATGTTTTTGTTATTTGCAGAGAAAGAAAATTCTTCTCTCACATTTCTAGACAAAAATACCCTTAATCCTTTGGTGAAAAAACTTGTTCTCCATGTTTCGTATGAGACAAATGAGTTAGATGCTATTACAAAACCTACAAAAAGCTGTTCTGGACCAGGGGCGGACCCACGTTAGAGTTAGGTGGGGCATGTACCCCATACTAAATCTTATAAATATTATATAAAATATCATTGTACAGTAAAATATAGTTAGCATGGTTTTTTCAGCTAAAGAGTGCCCCATACCCACCCGAGTTCAAGTCTCAAAACTATCACTTTTGTAATATTTTTTATAATCATAATATAATTTAGCTAATTCAATTTTATTTAGTACTATTTATATATATGGTGCCCCATATAGAATTATTTTCTAGATCTGCCTCTGTTCTGAACAGTACACGCTCTAAGCCACATATCTAATAAAACAAATTATTTTATCTCGTAACATTGTTCTGATAATAAATAACACGGTATATAAACATATAACAAGATTTACTGATATATACATCGATATATATCATACATCGTAGTATTATATTGTTGTTGTTTATATATAATATATCAATATCTATCATAATATATCTATATATATATATATCATAATTAACATATATATGATATCTCAATATATATTATGATATATGTTAAGATTTCGTGGTCGATAAATATATATCAAAGTTTATAAATATATATCATGATATATTGATATTTGACATAGTGGTGATAATGGGAGGGAGAGTCTGTTGGCGGTAGTAACGGTGGAAGATTGTGGTGGATGTGGAAGGTGAGTAAAATAAATTGGAGATTGTAGTTGGTATGGTGGATTGTATGCTAGTAGTGAAGGAGGTGATGGTGATGTAAATAGAGAATATGTTGCGCTGGTAGAGGAGGTGATGGTAGTCAATTGAAGGAGAGTATGTTGGTGACTGTAGAAGAGGAAGATTGTGATGAGAAATAAATTGGGAGACAAAGAGGCTTAATCATCACTGATCAATGACATCGTCGCCAGTTTGTTGGTGTCTCAAATCATCTCCAACATATGCACAATGATAACATGTACGGTACCAAACCCGCAACGTTTCTATAACAACAATTTTATGAGGTTGAGAGAGTGCATTATGATCAGAAAAATATAACTGATTTAATGAATTCAAAATATCGTAATTTAGATTGCAATTAGTTTCACAATTAAGGAGAATAATTTGTTTGGAGTTTCTCGTAAAGTAAAGAAAAAAATTAAAAAAAAATGATAAGAAGAGAAAGAGAAAACTAAAAGAAATGAATAAGGAATAATGTATGTAGTTTTAGGGGTAGTTTCGTCTATTTGCCATGTTTCTAGAAATCTTTTATTTATATATTTGCCACTTCTCCTTTGACTTAATTATTTTTCGGTCTTATGACATATAGTGCAATTACTCATTGTATTATAATTTTTTTTTGTTATTCCGAATCCAAGTGAAGATATTTAGCTGGAGTCTTTGTGATCTATTTGTCAAGGACTGTTTTATGAGACTCTATTCCAACTAGAGTAGGGTGTCATGCTTTAGTGAAAGACGTGCATAACTAAGGTTAAAGAGTTTCTTTGGAGTTAGGCAGATCAACTTGGTTAAGTTCAGAGTATTTGTCGTGAGAATGAGAAAAATAAATGAGATACTTTGTGAAACTCTTAAGAGACCATGATCACATGTGTCATCACATGATTAGTTCAATCTTCATTTATAATATAAAATTTGATTACACAATTAATTTATATTTAAAATATTAGTAAGAGACTCAACTCTCTTACCAATAGAGAATGTGCTCTTAAGAATCTAACCAACAAAAACGTAGTTAACGCACTAAATCGTATCATGTATACACAACATAAGCTTTTAAACAAATTGTTGAAAATTTATTGGTTCCTTTTGTCAGCAAGACATCAACCACGATTGAAATAGTTGGAGATGTTCAATCGATATGAGCTCGGGCTAGGAAACCGAGCACGCGCTACTAACCAAAGCATGGTCTTCGGGTTTGAGAAATGCTGATATGGTATGTAACGAGTTCATCGAGAAACATCTCAAAGATTAATCCATAATCGAAATTTGTTGGAAACTCGACCGCTTTTTTTTTTTTTTTGAAAGAATGTAAAATTATATTCAAACCAAAAAAGATTTTGTTACAATAAATGCTTCATAGTGAGCTGAGTTTTAGAGATGATGATTTGAAAACAAACACAAAAGATTATGGATGAGTTTGGAACCAGAGTTGGATCCCTCCTTCAAACCCACTTTGGTGTCAGAGAAGGCTGAGCTTATTCCGGATTGTTTTATCAATGAAACGACTTAGATTTGCAGCCGAGGTTTCTGGTTCACCATGATGTCGACCGTTTCTTTCCCTCCAAAGACTATGAATTGTAGCTTGGAAGGTGTAGCGAACGACGAAGCTGTTGAGTTTTGACTGAGAGGTATTCGTCAAATTGTGGAAACTCGACCTCATTTGCACCATTACTAGAAATAATTCAAATTTAAGCTTATGCACCACCACCACGGCACCACCAATGATCAACATTTTCTATCGGAGGTTCATCGGAACGGTTCCAAGAGATGAAACTCGAGCCTCTCAGCCGGGGTAGAGAACAGGAACTCAGCCTTCCTCTTCCTCTTCTTACCCGAGCAAGATATTCAAGATTCTTTTCTTATTTTTTTTGAAAAAATGAGATATTCAAGATTCTTCTTCTGATTAGATTACACGCTCAACAAAAGATGTTTAATTTGAAAAAAATATCAAATTAATATCTCTGTTTAATGTTATTTTTTTCTTTCTGATATTATGTGTTTCTTGTTTTACTTTGGATAAAAGCTTCTAATTAATAACAGTTTTTATTTATGATATAAAAAACTGATTAATGAAAACTCAGCGAGAGACAATAGAATCTAAAAAAAAAGATCTAAAAATCTGACAAAGTCATAAAACACAAAAAATCCTAACAAAAATACGATAATGAAGCAAAACAAAAAGAAAATAAAAATCTAAACAACGATCTTGTCCTGGACTTTCTCCGGTTTAGTTTCGCCCGTAAGCTCCTCAAGTGATATCCCCTTAGGCTCTGGAATTGCAACTAACGTGATAAGGAAGCCAGCACAATTGATTACAGCCATGATGTATAACGTATTACTCATACCCAAAGCCTTAACCAACGCAGCAAACCCGAAAGAACCGACCATCGCACCGGCTTTACCTGACGCGGCCGAGATACCGTGACAAGTAGACCTAATCCTCGCCGGAAAAATCTCAGCCGGGACAATGAACGTAGTTGCGTTAGGTCCAAAATTGGAGAAGAAAAAGGTGAGAGAGTAGAAAACCACAAAACCAATCCGGTTAGCCGGTAAAGTCCAATGGTGGTACGGTATGGCTAAAACCAACATGAAAACGGTCATCATGGCGAATCCAATGATCTGAATCCAGTACCGTCCCAATCTGTCGATTAAAACTATAGTGGCAATGTAACCAGGAACGGTACTGCAACAAGCGATTATGGTTTGAGCCTTGGCGATCATGAAGAGCTCTTGGATTGCGTTCATGGTTTTAGCCGAAGGTAACCATCCGATGGTGGTGAAGATATCCTTCTGGAACAAGTTTTGGCTGTAGAAAGCGATGTCGAGGAGGAACCATGTAGCGGCTGTTCCGAATAGGTTAAATCCGTGACGGCGAAGGAATTTCTTGGAAAACAAGCCAAACTCGTCTTTGGAAACCCTAGCTTGGTCATGTTTTGCGGAAGAGGCTTCAATGTCTACGTTGAGAACCTTAGTCATATCCGAAGCCGCTTGCTCCGCGTTCTTGGCGACTAGAGCGGTGTAACGAGCAGTTTCAGGCATCTTCATACGCCAGTAGTATGTCAAGAGAGCCGGTAAGGCTCCGACCATCAGGATGATCCTCCACACGTAATCCGCCTGTGGAACGGTGGAGGCTGCGCCGTCCAATATATAGGCCCGAGACGGAAACTTAATCTCGAAAATATACGAGACAAGTAAAGAAACCGCTCCTGCAGCAAGTATCCCAACTCCTTGCATACCAAAAACAGCTGCTATGAACGCGCCCCGAGTACGTTTGTTAGCGTACTCGGACATGATCGTAGCCGAGAGAGGATAATCACCACCGATGCCAAACCCGAGCCAGAAACGAAAGAAGCAGAGAGTTACCATGACGGTTTTCGGGTCGTTTCCAAGAGAAAGACCAGAACCAATGGAGCAAATGGTCATGATCAAGAGTGTCAAACCATAGACTCTCTTACGTCCGAGCTTGTCACCAAGACATCCAAAAAAAATCTGTCCCAGAAACGTTCCGGCGAAGGCTACACCGCTCACGGCGGCAGAGATGCCGTCAGGGAGGCTTCCAGGAGAGGAGGAGCCAGGAACCTGATAGTAGATCCGGCCAAGTAGCTTCGTGATGAGAGATATCACGAAGAGATCATACGAGTCTGTGAAAAAACCCATACCGGCGACTACAACAGCCGTGAAATGGTACCATTGAGTCTTCGCAACGTCAAGAGCTTTCAAGATGCTTCCTTCTTCTCCGTTAGCCATCTCGATATTTCTCTGTTCTCTTCACTCTGGAAACCAAACAAGTGAAAAAAATGTTATAATATATATAGAGAAAGTTGTTGTAACAAAAAATTAAAAGATACCGATTCTAGTTTGATAAGAATTTGAACTAGAAATAATTTATTGTTTGTAGAAAATAAAAGTCAAATTTACCCAGTTTGACTCAAAACTTAGCAAAAATAACTAGAATGACTCTCAATCCAAATGGATAACTAGACTAACCCAAATTTTATGTAAAAAGACTATTTAACCTTTCATTATGCCAATTTCCTTTAAAAATAAAAACCAAATTCGTTTTTTTTAATTAAAAATCAAATATGACATATAATTTTAACAAGTCTGCTACATTAAAATTAAGTCTGTCATATCCTAATTTTGCAGATTTTTTTTAAAATTGTCAAACATAATCTTGTCGTGATAAGATCCGATAACTCTGTCATGATAGAATAAAAATCTGTCAAAACATGAAAAAATCTGTTGTCACTAAATAGGTCATTCCAGTAATTTATTTTTAATTCAAGAAATCTGATATGAAACACCAGATTTTTTTAAATTAAACATAAATTTGGCATAACATAAAAAAAATCTGTCATAACGTTAAACATATCGGTTGCGACTATATGTCATTCTAGCAATTTTAATTTTTTTTAAACAAATCTGCTATAACATTCCAGATTTTTTGTTAACATTAAAAAATCTGTCATAACTTAAAACAAATCTGTGAGCACTAAAAAGTCAAACTAGTAATTATTTTTTATTAACAAATCTGCTGTATTATGACAGACTTTTTCTAAAAAATATAAGTCTGACGCCATTAGAAACAAAAATCTGCTACATATTATAATAAACTGTCAAAATTACGAAAGTCTGAGGCGTCATCATAAAATAAGTCTGGCAAAAGAAAAAAATCTGCTACAAATTAAATATTTGTCGTAACCATATTCAAATAAGTCTGTGGGAGGAAAAAAAACTGCCGTAGAAAATCTGTCGTAGACTATTAAGTCTGTCAGAGAAAATAAATCTGTCACAACGACGCCCACAGACTTTTAACGGCAGATTTGTTTTTTCGAAAAAATTTCATCCACGTTTCCAGAAAAATCAGAGGGTATTATTGACTTTATTTTTTTTCCTAACATAGAGACAAAGGGTATTTTGGTCAGAAAAATAACTAGATTAACCCATACATTTTATGAGTTATTTTAGTAATTAAACCTTATTTTTGGGTCAAACTAGTTTTTTTCCCAAAATAAAATCTATCAACAAACTATCTAATAAAATTAGGGATTCGAGACATATACTGAAAAAATTACAATATAAAAATATAACACAAAAGAATATGCCATGGTTTCTTTCATGGCAAATTCACGATCAATCAAACAAATCAGTTTTTAAGTTGAAACTTTTGATAATATTTGCGAAGAAATATAAAAATTAATTAGTATGTTTAGAAAGTAAATATAAAGAGAGAGATGAAGTATTCACCAACAAGTAGTTAGATCCGGAAAAAATAATAGAAGATTTGATTATTAGAGTTTATATATGCACATGGAGATGATGAGAACACAATCACATATTCTTTTTGAAAAAAAAAAAAAACTATCGTAGGAGTGATAAATTAAGATAGAACTAGATCATGACCCGCACTTACATGCAGAATTTTTTATTTTAAAAAATGTGTTGTATTAAACTTTTAGTAAATATAGATTATTTTGTTGTTTTGGTGATATATATTGTAGTATATAAATTATAATGTACCCGAAAAAGTGTAGAATGTTATTTATGTTGTTTATGACACAACAGCTAATGTTGTGCACCATATTTCAAATTTTGGAGTTTGAACCTGAAGAGTAGATTAGAAAAAATCTTAGTTTGAAACATAATATAAGTTAGATTCATGAAGTAAACAAATATATTTTATATAGTATTTATAACCCAAACTCATATCAGTTGGGTATTTAGTTTAATTTTCTGTTTGGTTTTAATCTAGGTTATTAATATTTGAATATTTAAAATAATAATGGTTTCAGCAGTATTTTAAAATTCGTAACAACTTAGCGGTCAGACCGGGATCAAATTAAAACGGAGTAATGGTTAGTTAGATTTTTATTAAACTTGTGAACTAGCAACCATATATAAAACCGTTAAAAATGATTAAATAAATACAAATATTTAGAAGTCGACGTAATTCCTTTTGGTTTCCCCATGTTCCATTAGAAGAATGTATATTCCAAAAGTGTGTAACAATTTGATACGAAATAAAATAATTTATTTCATATGAAATATATTAATTTATTTTGCTCTAAATAAAATAATTTGGAGATATAGTAGCTATTATCATACGTTTTAAAAATATAGTGATATATATTTAAAATAATGAAAACGACCCGTTTATAAAAAAAGATATTTCAATATTTATATCATTTAAATTCTAATTAAAATGTAAAATATTTTAATCTATAATGGAAATATTTTCTAGATATTTACAAATGTAAAATCTAAAAATTATTTGTTGAATATGCTATATTTTAAAGGATGAAAGTATTTCGTTTAGATTATATATGACAAATATACTAAATGTTTTTGATATTTGGAAAATCAAATTTTTAAAATCGTTTTTTTCTTTCATGTGTACTAATCAGAATTAATTAGCATTGTTTTATTAAGGAAATGTTTTAAAATCTAAACTACCCGTTTTTAAAAAAGATATTTCAAAATTTATATCATTTAAATTCTAATTAAAATGTAAAATCTTTTAATCTTTCTTCAAATTTTAAAAAAGCAATGGCAAAATATTCTACAACTTAAAGATTTTTTATTATCTAGTGATTATCAATCAATAGTATAGATAATGCCATAGTTTAATGATTTTTATTTTGTAAAAAGGAAAAATCCAAGAGTGATAAATTAAACCAAGGAATTTAATAGAATTTGATTGAATAGAATTAAAGAAATACCTAGACCACAGTAAAAGTCCTTGATACACGTTAACTACCTGAAAAAAAAAAAACAAATCAAAGTCAAAATCAAAATTCTCGCAAACAAGATACATATTTAAAAGATTTAATTCTTTCTTTATAATTCTACCGAATATATTTTGCAACATTTTAATAGAATAGAATAGAATTTTCATAGAATTAAAAAAAAAAAAATCTAATTTTCTGACCACGTCAAACAAACAAAGGTGAAGATCAGTACTCGTTTTTCTCTTATGCCTTTCACAGTTTTTATGAAGATTTATGTTTAATTATGCAGAAGGTATTAGTTATGAAAAAAGCTTCAACATGAGGAGTGCAAAAAAATGTATAAAAATAAACTAGAGAAACTTATACTAAGGATGATTATGAATTTTCTTCAAATTGAATTAAAAAAAGAAATTTCAGATTTTCCCACGACAGCAAACAAACAAAGGTGAAGAAGATCAGTACTCGTTTTTAGGCTCTTATGCCTTTCACAGTTTTATGAAGATTTATGTTTATTTATGCAGAAGGTAATGGTTATGAAAAAAGCTTTAACATGAGGAGTGCAAAAAATTGTATAGAAATAAACTAGAAAAACTTACGAAGGATGATTCAGAATTTTCTACAAGATTTGTTGGGATTTTGTGATATATATCGTTGACAAAATTTATAGTAAACACTAATTAAAAAAAAAATTAAAGTGTATTAAAAAATTATTAACAAACATTCGTATCTATAAAGAATAATACAAAACATGCTAGAATATCCATAAGAATAATAACTTGAATATTATTTTTTCAAGTTGTTTTGTTAACCGACGTGAAAAAGTAAAATTGGAAGGGAATTAGCGTCGTTTCTATGACCGACTGAAAAATAACGTCAAAAGTTAATATTTAAAAAAAAAAAAAAGAGAGGATAATTTTTAGGTTTATAACCGACTGAACTCGATTGTGTTTTAGGTCATGACCATGAACTCCGAAAAAAAAAATTGCGTTAGGCCTAACAGTGGAATTGTTTCATCTGAGTTTCACTTTTGAAGTTCTTGGTTAGTTCTCTGACCATCAATTCTGTTTTTGTAGAGGTTTTTGACCTCTCAACACCTCAAAGCTTCATGCTTTGTCATCATGAACACAAGATCACACACAAGCAGAACATGTTATGGAGAAGAAGAAGAGAGTAAAACAGAGCAGAAGAAAGGAAGAAAAGGAGCACACAAGCATTTGTTTACCCGGTTCATGGTGTTAAGTGTTAACGAACCGCTACGTCCGGTTAGGATCTTTCGATCCACATCCTTCACTATGAAGAAGAAAGAGGGTGATTACAAGATAATCCTAGTGAACGTCTAAACTCTTCTCTAGCTAAAGACTCACTCTCTATCTTGTATTACTTGAGAAACTACCCGAAAGCTTATACTTTACGGTCTCTCTCACCCCTTATGATCTAAGCTCCTTAGATCTACATTGCTTGTGCTTTCTCTGCTCTCTTGTTGTGTCTTCATCTCTCATGTCTTTATATCAATTTATACATAGGAGACAACCTCAACCCTAGTGCAGCTACAAACGTTTCTTTTGAATTCACAAACAGACAAACTGTCCTTCCTTGGCCAGCTCCTTGTGCTCCCAGAAATGTTTAACTTAACCAGAGATGAATTACTTTTAACTCTAGTTAACATCTCTGTTTTTACCTTGAGCATAGGTTCTCATCTTTACAGTTTTGTTTATTGTATCTTTGATTATCAATGGAGTTACATAGCAATCTTCTTTTAGCAACATTGATGTTACATTTGGCTGCAAACATAATGAAAGAAGATTGATTATTTTAACTTCAAATTTAAACAATTATAAATTCTGAAATTAAAAAAAAAACTTAAAACTGAAAAATTGAAAATTAAACTACTACTAGAATAATTATTTTGAACTTAATTATTGTTTTATTAGATGCATTGAAAATAATAAGCTAAGCGTTACAGCAAATCCAACCCAATCCAACCCAAGCGTTCTTCAACAGACATGCTGACAAATACGTCTTTCATTTTCAGCATGGGGATCTTGTTTACTGCAT